TACTGTATACAGACACATGTGGCACAGAATCTGTTAAATTGAATCATTTCACAAATTCACATTCAGGTATACTCAAAGCTGCTCCCTGTTTACATTTTTATTATGTGCTGTGAGATTATTTAAATTTTTTGTCCTGTAGTTTCTTCCTGCCATTTTTTCTCTATTTTTTCATCTCTTTCGGGATCATATATCATTGTGCAATGAAATTCTGATTTAGGTAACTGTGCTTCTGGAATCTGTGCCTCAATATACTTTCCCCATTTATTAATTGTCTGTCTCACATCTTGGTTGAGACCATAGTTCAGTTGGTAGCTGATGCTCTACTTCCTTAAATAGTTCAGTCTCAGTATTGTTTATTAATTCAGATGTTGTATTCATCTGCATCAGTTTCTTTTGATTGATAACTACTTCCTGAGGAATTCCCATCAAATTGGTTGCACACAAACTTTTGATGTAATTTTTGTCAGCTGAGTGAAAAATCAACGGATGTTCTGTTGGTTCCCATTTGCTTTGTTCTGCCTTTTTCATCATTGGTCCTAGATCTTTTGCTTCCCAGTTTTTTCCTACATACTGTATACAGACACATGTGGCACAGAATCTGTTAAATTGAATCATTTCACAAATTCACATTCAGGTATACTCAAAGCTGCTCCCTGTTTACATTTTTATTATGTGCTGTGAGATTATTTAAATTTTTTGTCCTGTAGTTTCTTCCTGCCATTTTTTCTCTATTTTTTCATCTCTTTCGGGATCATATATCATTGTGCAATGAAATTCTGATTTAGGTAACTGTGCTTCTGGAATCTGTGCCTCAATATACTTTCCCCATTTATTAATTGTCTGTCTCACATCTTGCTCGATCTGTCCTATCCAATAAACATTTGCTTTTGGCTCTACAACCATCATCTGAGTTTCTATTCCTATTGTGTCTATATATACCCCATCAGGAGAACACCAAATTTGTGGGATATCAAAAAATGATATCTCTATTTTCTGGGATTTTAGCAATAACGATAATCAGACTATATTTTTCTGAGTGTGTTGCGCTGCAGGACTGCCGTGGACAGCTGACTCCTAAAGTTTTTGATATTATCATTTGAGTTTCTATTCCTATTGTGTCTATATATACCCCTTCAGGAGAAGACCAAATTTGTAGCCCTAATTTACATAATGCATCTCTCCCTAACAAATTAACAGGAGTCTGATTTGATACAAGAATGGGTATGGTTACACTTTTATTTTTGGTTTGTAGACACACTGGAGCTGTCATTGGAATTAGCTGCATTATCCTATTGTCTTTGCTAATTTTCCCGACAAGGGGAGATGAGAGGCATAATTTGAATTAACACAAGTATAAACAGCTCCTGTGTCTACCATCATTGGTGTCGTCTTTCCCTCTATTTCAATTTGCAGAATAGGTTCTTGATCAGCTTTAGTTGTTAAAATTGGAAGCTGACTCTCCCCAATAGAATTCTCTGGGCACCCCTAATATCCTTGATTTGGACCTCCCCAAGGGTTTACTGGGCGCTGTAATGGACAACGGGTGGGCTGCTGCCAACTCTCCCGCCTTCCACCACGAGGTGGCTGTTGCCATGGATTGGTGGGACAGTCATTCTTATTATGTCCAGGCTGTCCGCATCCCCAGCACATTCCTGGAGGACCAGTATAAGGCTTGCCTCTTCCTCTCTGTCCTCTTTGTACTGGTTTTCTTTTCCATCCCATTGGCCCTGGTTGTTGAGTATAGACATTAATGATGGGTAAAGGGATCTGGTGTGCATTTGGATGGGCTGCTGCAGGGGGGCTTGGCTGAACAGGTGGTGGAGGAGCATTTACTGGAGACATCACTGTCATTTGTTCTGATTCATCGTTCTTTACTGAAGCTTGAATCTTTTTCTTATTCTTTTTTGTCAGTTCTTCAAGTTGTAACTGAGTTAATTTTCTCTGTAGCTCTTTCTCTTGGTTTTTGAGCTTCTGTTTCTTTTTTCTGTATTGCTCCACTGCATGAGACACATGGTCACGGAACTCTTTGTGTGTTTTAGAGTTTAAGCCGACTACGTCCTCCAGCCTGCTCTTTACAGCTTGTGGCATGGCATCTATCACAGCATTTCTAAACAATGTTGCCATTAATGGGTCTCCTTCTGGATTCCCTTCAGTCTCATGCTTCCATCTTTTCAGCTGTCTCTGGACATATGTAGTTGGATTTTCTGTTTCCCCCAGCTGTTCTCCCTTTAATGATTTAGGGTCTAGTCTGATCGGGTACTCAGCATGCAGTGCCTGCCACACTGCTGGACAGAATGCATCAAAAACAGTTCCATCCATGTAGTGAGAGTCCACAGCTCTGTCCAGATTGGATGCTTGAAGAATTTCTTCCATTTTTGCCCCTCCTATAATCTTTGCCAGCAGTGCTTTAATGTCCCCCACAGCTAAAAGTTTGCCCATAGTTTCTTCTTCAAACACCTTAATCCACTTCCCAGCCCCTTGTTTTCCCTTCATAGTTTGCTTTCATCATTTCTAATGCTATGCGTGCCTGTTTATAACAATCTAAAGGTAAATATCCCTCACTCTTTTTATTCTGTCGCCTCTTTGGTCTTACATCTGGTTCTTTTTGTTTTTCTTCTAATGCTACTTGTCCTTCCATTTGCTTTTACCCAGACACTTCTACAGTACCCTTATGTATTGGGAACTGTCCCTCTAGGGGCAGATATGGGGGTGGTTTAGAAAACAACTCTTCTTTTTTCTTTGTCTCTTTGTCTGCCTCTTTTAGTATTTTTCTTGCCTGTTTTATACTTTTCAATGAGTCTTCTTCCTTTTTGAACAAAGATAACACTTCTTTATCTTTTTCCCTTTTTGCTTCTCTCTTTTCTCTCTTTTTACTATTGCCTTTAGTTTTATGATTTTTTTTATCAAAGTTTCCATTTCCTCGCACAATGCTACATCAAATGTCCCTTCCTTTGGCCATTTTGTCATAATTTTTTTTAGTTCTCTGTTGCCATTTGTTTGAGAGCTTGTCTATCAGTTCTTTACACAGTGGATATTTTAATCCTAATATTTCCACCGGAGTGGTTGCCATCATTTTTCCTGTAATATGACAATCCTATATTTTAAGCTCAGTATATACTTTTATACAATAATTTAACTTACTTTACATTCTCCCCAACTTAATTTGACTTCTTTTAACCAATTCCTCCTATTTTCTTCTGTATCATGCACTTTTAAGCCTAGTATTTATTATATCACATGCGTGTGCACATTTTCAATATATTATAAAGTGAATTTATTATCTAAATCCTATATATATATATATTTTTAAAACATAGCATCCAAACGTGCCAACCAATAACTAAGACCTTTATGTATATATTCATTGTTTCCTGTTATAAAAATTATTTTATCAGCAATTTAATTATTTAACATAGGGCGTATACCTCTTTTTACACTTAGCATCCAAAAGTGAGAACCAATAACTAAGACCTTTATGTATTTATTCTTTGTTTCCTGTTATAAAAATTATTTTATCAGCAATTTGATTATTTAATATAGGGCATATACCTCTATGATATTCCACTTTCTAAACTGCATTAGTCTCCTAAATATTCTCCCTATTTACGTCACACAATATATGCATTCAAATATGTACGAAAATCTACAATGCCAAAATCTTGACCCAGTCTTTATTGAAACAATTTGTCTAAATACATTCACTCATTTTAGTCCCTTTATCCACAGGGCTCATTCATTCAGTCTTTGTCCCTTTATTTATAGGGCTTATCACATTCTTTCATCCCTCTGAGGTGCGGCACTAACTGCGTCCAACTCTGCCAGATCACACTTAAGTGATGGTCCAGGAGTGGTGCGCAGCTTTTACCCACCCGATACGGAATTTATTGTTCTCATACAACCATAGTCATTCACACAGACACAGACACATACATTAAAACATACATTAAATCCGACTACTCTACACTCGTCCTAAGTGACCTGTCAGTTCTACTCGCTCTTCCACTTCCTCAACACAGTAAAAAAGCAGTACCCTGCAGGAATTTTTGCCTATCCATAGGACTTTGCACGCTTCCTTATAATTTATCTGCTTAATGTTTATTGCTATCCTTCAAAAGGCTCACTTAACAATAAACACAGACCATTGCATGCAATTAGTTATTCTGGAATCAAAACCCTTTTTTTTCTTTTTGTTCTTTAAATTTGGAGGAGCAAATTGGTGTCCTTACCACCAAGGGCATACCGGGCGAACAACACTAAGTATATAAGCAAAATCTGCTTACCTTATTGTAGTGGCCACCGTGTTGTTCGTCAAGCCAGTCCAAAGTGGTCTTCCACCCTTGCTCCTTTCCAGCCCCATGTTGGGCGCCAATTTGTGGTGGCTTCTGCCGCTGCTTTGAAGAATTTTTCTCAGAGTCTTGGGGTTTTGATGCCAGAAGAGATTTTATTTTCAGGGACAATAAAACCTGAGAGAACTCTGCAGGGCAATCTCTCGAATCTTTTTGTGTACCCTCTTATATACATTTTCTCTAGGTGTGTTCAATACATTTCATTCATATTTGTTATGGGATCACGATGCAGACATGAGGCCTTAATTTTATGTTCTGTGAAAATAAGGGCCCCATTATGTGCCATCGTGTGCTTATCATGTACTTCACCATATGTCTGCACATTCCATTCTCATACAGATTTCTATACATGCAGGCAAATACACATGATTATAATAGTAGAATAACGTAATACATAAATGGCTATATTCACATTGATTATACTTGAATAATTTATATTTTGATTAACTAAACTCTTCTTCAAAAAGTGTGGAAATTACAGCACATTGTTAAACTCCAAACATATTATAGTGACCATTTCCTATTTCGACTTTCCAGTAAGGTGCCATGTTCATTTCCTGTCTGCTTTCATTATAGAATTAGCAGATGTGTGAGTACCAGTACCTGAAGGAGAACAATGAATCATGTTACCTTTGCTTTCTTGCTCAGACGTACCTACACCAGGGTCTTCTCCAGATCCTCCTGAACCTTCAGGAAACATCTCAAAGGGCTCCTGAAAGACAATTGAAGAAATAATAAATATAAAGGTTTAAATATTTTAAACAGGCATGTAGAGATATGTCAGTGTGTTTATGTATTATATTTTGTTGAATGAACTCACCATAGTAATGCTCTCAGAGGTAGTAGTCATCTCAGGAGCTATGAAGAAACGCAAACAAACATTTCAATATTCAAAAATATTTTTTAGGGTGAAAACTAGGGATGCACCGATACCACTTTTTCCAGTACTCGCCCGATACTGATACTTTTATTTTTGGTACTTGCCGATACCGAGTACCGATACCAATATTTGATTGCATTTGTAAATTTTTTAAATATTGCGTACAGAAAACAAAAGGGTATGTATAATGTTAGTTGGTTAACTTCATTTATCAAATAGATACAGTCGAACCAAAATTTATTCAGACATCTTCAACATTTCTCACATTATCACAGTTTATTCGCTATAGTTTAGAAAATGGTAATAAATATGACAAGAACTCAGAGTTAAACTGTGTCAAAACAAATTCAGCTTGATAATGTTAGATAACTTTGATAGAAAGGTATGTAATGGATTACAATCAACCAAAATTTATTCAGACAGCTGTTAGTATGACAGTATTTACACAACTATCAATACTTAGTCGGGCAACCCTTAGCCTTAATGACAGCCTGTAGTCTCCTGGGCATGCTGTCACCCAGCTTCATGCAAACCTCAACTTAAATTTTTTACCCAGACTCGGTCTGAATAATTTTTGGACCCAAATTTGTATCAGCTTTACTGGTAGTCCACTGTATGAAGAATTTTTGGGTATGATTTGTCACAGTTTACTTTATTTTACTGTCCTCACTTACATAAATGAACTATAGTGTCCTGCACCCACTAAAAAAAAAATCTAAAATTATATCTGGTCTCTGAATCATTTTTGGTTTGCCTGTATATCCTTCAGTTATTTTCACACTTAATTATGGCCATTAAAATGTAAGTTTTTGTTACTTTCACTGTTCGTTTTTTGCTCTATGGTACATCATCTTTAATTTAATAGCATTAGAGCTGCTCCATTGCAGCGGCTTAGTACTGTAATCATGCGCTTTGCTGTAATAATGCTGGGAACCACTCGCTATAAATCTCCTAGCTGTGATATTTTCAGAAATAGAAGTCATTTTTTTCATCTGAAACGTGCTGCGATTTATTTTCCAAAGCCACTCATATAATGCAGAAACACTCAAGCAAGCAAAACGCTCAACGCCTGCACGTATTTGTACTGCTGCAGAATAGTACAGCCTAGCGCATTTCACACAAGCTGCTAGTTTCACTTTCGCCAGATAGTCGTGTATGCCTAAGGTTAAAAATAAATTATGTTTATAGTGAATGCCCCATTTAAATGGTCTTATTTGTACGATTTAGTTTTAATCCAGAATTGCGCGCGCGCACGCTCTCTCTCTCTCTCTCTCTACCGTTAAGTAACTTGTGCATTGTTTTACTTACTTGTTTTTGACATATCCGACCGAACTGCAAACTTTCCAGTGATGTCTGTGAGAAAGGTATATTCACTCGACAAGCTCACGCATCTGCGCCGCCGCGCGCTCAATCCACTCATGCGCGCGCACATCAGCTATACAGGCGTTAATACTGAATGTTTAACATTATATTCATTGCATACATATACTTCGTATACATCCTTAATCTCTAATAACTCCATTCTGCTGTCTTTTGTTCTGTTGTCGGTGTTTCTTTGTTTGAATATGGGGCTTATCACATGCTGTGTGGTATCAGCGTTTGGTATCGGGGCATTTTAACGAGTACGAGTATAAGAGCTCAGTATCGGCCCGATACCGGGTGCATCCCTAGTGAAAACAAATGGTTGTCACAACCTTAAAGCTGTTGTTTTGCTTGTCCACAGCAAAACTGTATAAGATATTAAAAGGTATTTTCAGAAAATTCTAAATGTGTCTTTACACAGACTGTTTAATGCTGCTTGGTTGTGGCATGAATGCATTTACACAGTAATAATAACTGTATACCATGATAATAGGGGCTTAAGTTGATCAGAGCAGGCATAATTCAACCTGGCCTTTAAGCAGCCACAAAGCAAACTTATTTTCATGATGTAAAAGTGTATTTTGTCTTGTTCTTGAATATTTCATACTTTAAAACAAGACAACAACTATTCTATATAGTTATATGAATTATATATATTTTTTGTTTTGTTTTAAGTGTTGGTCCTAAAAGCTACTACTATGACGGTGGGATATAGATGTGTTACAATTCTTGAGTCTGGAAAAAAATAAGACCAAATTTACGACGGTAAATTGATTTTATGTGACGACCTTTCATAAATTATCTTCAAAATAAGTTATTACTTAATTTGGTTGAATTAATGCAGATCAATTATTCTTTTTATGATTTATTAATGTTTTTTTAATGTACATACACAGACTAAAGCACAAGAATCTTTTTGTCTGTTGTCGGCTGTGTTGGTATGTGATTGTGTATGTTGTTAAATGCTGTACAAAATAAAAATACAAAAAAGGTACTACTAAACAGTGAAATTGGTTATTTAAAAAAAATAAAATAATGGAAAATAATTGTATTCTTCGATATTTACAAATACTAATTATAAACACTAAACTTAATGTGATGTGAAAGACTTCAACTAAATGGGTCTCTATTTCTGAGCAATTTTTGTGGTTTTTAAGTTCAACCACTGTTAGTCTAGTATCAACCATTTGCAATTTTGGATGTTTGTTGCAAAGCCCTGCCCTTTTTCAGATCTCGCCCAGTTGATTGAAAGCTTAAAGGGATAATTCGCCCAAAAATGAAACTTTTGTCATTAATTACTCACCCTCATGTCGCTCCAAACCCGTAAGATTTTCATTCATCTTCGGAACACAAATTAACATATTTTTGATGAAATCCAAGAGCTTTCTGACTCTCAATAGGCAACAACTACCACGTTCAAGGCTTAGAGAGGTAGTAAGAACATTGTTGAAATAGTCTATGTGACATCAGTGGTTCAACCTTAATTTTACAAAGCTACGAGGATACTTTTTGTAGGTAAAGAAAACAAAAATACTTTATTCAACAATTTCTTCAACGAGCGTTCATGAGAGTACCACATCCTTTGCACACAAATAAAATATTCTTGTAGATTAATAAAATTAAGGTTGAATCACTGATGTCACACGGACTATTTTAACAATGTCCTTACTACCTCTCTTGGGCCATGAACGTGGTAGTACCATTGCTGTCTATGCAGGGTCAGAAAGCTCTCGGATTTCATCAAAAATATCTTAATTTGTGTTTTAAAGATGAACAAATGTCTTACAGGTTTGGAACAACATGAGGGTGAGTAATTAATGACAAAAGTTTCATTTCATTCAACCTTTTAATGTCCAACAGACAATTATATGCTTTCCCCAATGCAAATTATTATTTTTTTTTTAGTGTAAATTATGTTCTCATAGACGTGTTTAGAGCCTCTTATCTGCTGAACACTGATCTTTGCTCTTAAAATCAATAATACAGGTACAGTATGTGACAAATACACCAAATATTTAAAATACACCAAAATTGAACTAATTTCTTTAAAACAATTAAAACAAGTTTTACAGTATTAGAAATTATTATTTTGTTACCTGTCCAACTGACTGCATAGACAGTGTCAGTCCAGTCACTCCAGACGCCGTCAAACTCATCCTTGGCCCGGAGCTGCACTTCATACTGAGTGTGTGGCAGAGCATCATAAATTGTCCAGGACACGTGTCTGTCCATCCTGTCATATATCAGCACTGACTGGTACTAAATACACACACATAAATACCATTGTGCCATTTCAAGATTTATACATACAAGCCTTCCCATTTTACCTGCTCTGCGAGTTGTGATCGGTATCTCAGCTGGAAATGCAGGGCATAGAAGCCATGCTTCCAGGAACTGGGATAAGACCAGGATACTTTAAGCATATGCTTCTGGCCCTCAACTGCTCTCACCACCACCCTGGTCGGAGGGTCTGGCTTAACTACGGAGAAAAAGATTTTTGTTTCACAAGCACATTGATGGTGTTCTAAAAGTGTAAGCGACTAATCAACATCCCACAGAACAGGAAAACACAAGCACTCACTGATGTCATGAAGCTTGAAGCTGAGGTAAGGGCTCGTGGCATTGCCTGCTGTGTTAGACACACACAGTTTTGCCACATGGAGAGCTCTGTCACCCTCCTCCACGTAAAAAGCACACCAACAGCGGGAGCGGGAGAATGAACAAGGCACGTGAGTGACGTTACCAAACAATCTTTGTAGAGAGAGAAGTGCACAGGAGAGATCAGATGATAATCATAATTTAAAAGAATAAATAAAATGATTCAGTTATTATTTACATAGGTTCCATATGTTATTCTGTATATTTTTCATAAAAAAATTTAGAAATCTACAAATATATTATACATTTATTTAAATACTTACATAAACACTGAGTCATTTATTCATAAAGTGCTGACTGCTGCTAAATACATACACTCACTCTCTAATAAGAAGGAGGTAACACAGTGGCCTTGGGGTTACTGGATTTTTGGATGTCCAATCACAGCGGACTTTACTGGTGTGAAACTTCTTGTAGCAGTAGACAGTGGGTCTCTCTGGGGGCACTGTGGAAAAAGTGCAAGGATGTGAATTTCTTCTGTGTGTATCTGTAAATCATTTGAAATATGCATGTGAAAGAAGGTCCTCACCCCCTACGCTGATTCTGAATGTGGAAATTAGTCTCTCTCCTCTGTAGCAGCTGTAATTCCCAGCATCTGCCCAGCTGAGATGTGGCCGTCTTAAAATCCCCCCCCTTTCCACGCCGGAATGCAATTGTCATCCATTGAGAGTCCAGCGTGTTCGCTTTTTGATGCCTCTTGTCACCCTGGACCTTTCCTCTTCATAATCATAGTCCTGATGAAAATCCGTCCCCATGGTGATATCAAAGACCTCTTCCTCCTTTCCAGTAGTTTGACTGACAGCACGCAAAACACGTCTAGAAGTGCTTTGTTCCTTTCTTATGGTTACAGGTGGTTTAACTGTAACTGTAACTGTTGTGTCCCCTTTAGCTTTGGAATACATACCAGAATCAAACTTTTGGTATGTCTCAGTTGTAACATTTCCCTTCATACTGGTTAGCTGTGTAGCATTAGCATCACCTGTTTGGGATGTCCAGCTGACAGTGATGTCTTCTGTCTGCTTGTTTCTGTATTTTTTATTTGTGACACTGGCTGAAGCCAACGGCACACCGTCCACAGAGACACCGCCTCTGCAGCCAAGCACAACATTGCTTCCTAACTTCAAGACCAAAACTCCAGGAAGGGGCTCTGAAGAAGATTCACAACAGTTTTAGATATTTAATCACATTAATAATCCTTTACATATGTACTGGTTTCTAGTACATAATATTCTAACTTGGGTGAGTAGCCTATATACAGTACATTATACTCACAGTTCATAGCGCCGGTTATATATGGAACAAAATTATGAATTTTGAACCAGTAATGAACTGGTACTTTTGCTTTCACTTCCTTTTATTAAAATTCCCCAGATTCTTCCCCACTTTCATAAACGGACTAAAGGGGATCACTATGTAAAAGAAAATGGTAAACTTTTTTCCCTCCAAGTTCACAGCACTTTGAAACAATGAACTATTACTAAAAGCATATAAAATCCACACTATGCCTCATTTTTATGTGTCATAGCCAAACATTTGCTGTAACATTACTAGGGAAATCCTCATCATACTCAGAGATGCCTTTGATTTTCTACCTGCCTGGGAGGGGGTCTAGACTATGTTTTATTTAATTTGATAATATTTGTATTTTTTTGTTTTAATATTATATTAATATTTTTTGAATATATTAAATGTTTTTATATTATAAATTTTTTTGTATATCTTACATCGTTGGCACATCTGCACTTTGTTATTTCATTCAGTCAGCGACGCAGCAGTGCACAAAACTCCGGTGTTTCAGCAATGACTGTTCTGAACGCCTCTGATTGGCCATTGCATTCATAAGCTCAACAGAATCGTGTGTGATTGGTTATAATGTAAAAACACGTCTGTCTCTGACTCAGCGCCAGCCAGCGAACGCAGATTTGAATTTATCAGCTAGCGATGTGCCGCACATCACACCCGTGTGATTGAATCAATTATTTAAAAATATCATTCGGCTTTTTTTGTCTTTTGGAAGTTGCATCCCAACTAGGCTCGAAAATCTGAGGGGGCACGTGTCCCCTCGGCTTGAATGGGCATGACGCCTCTGCTTTTGGCTCTCAGGGCTGTTGGAAATAATCTCTCAATATTTATGTTGTTTGCTAACAATGTCCAAGAGTAGACATACATGTATCACAGAATCATTTTTGTCTCTTTTTCCCCACCGAATGTCCATTTCCACCACATCTCAAATTAAATATTGTGTTCGAGAACATCTTGTGGTAGAAATTAAATTTTCATATTTTTGTAGTAAAAAAGGACTCTGTTTTGCTTTTGTCATAGTTAGCATTTGATGTGTCTGAAATACACAAAACTTTTTGCAATTATAACTTGATTGCAAATGATAAGCACAATAAAAACTATTCTCATCAGAAGTTTTACATTAATCTTTTCTTTTCTCCACGCATCACATCTTTGCTCATACATTTTTTGTAGTTTTTGAAAAAAGCAAACAAACTGATAATCATTTTCAAACAATAAACATGGAAGTTGTTTATTCTTTTCGCATTCATTATTTTAATATGTTTTTGTTTAATTTTATTTAATTTTATTTTAAGATTGAAAGCAGAAAATAAATAATTAATGAATGTGAGGTAAAAAGTTTCCAAGAAGTTTTGAATGTGAACATTCAATATAAAAAAGAAAGGTCCCGTGATGAAAGTTTTTACACTTAATTTAACTTAATTGCTATTAATATTAGGCTATTCTTTACTACAAGCGCTCATCATTAACCATTAACCTCTGAGTCAGAGATGAATCACTCTGGCTACAGCCTAACAAGACCATGAAAGAGATATAAATCTGTTTTTTAAAGTCAAAATATACAATACAGGTCAAGAATAACTGATTAAGGTTCATCACACAAATTCAACCACAGATGAATAATTCTCAATTGTGTTTCGAAATGAAATGTTTATTACCTTGTCGAGGACACAGCTCTTCTGAGGCAGACTGAACTTTAATCGCAGCTAATACACCGAAGAATGAGAAGAGAAACTTGAGTGTAGATCCGCTCCACATTATAAATTTATATTTCACTTCCAAAAAAATTATACAAATAATAATAATAATCAGCCACCAAAATATACAATATGGTAACGGGTCATAATGTCAACCCGTTCAGCAAATGTAAATTTTCCTCACATCAACATTTCTGACATCCTAATAAAATAAAGAAAATAAAAACCTTACGATTTAAAATGTTATTTAAAACTGTTTCATTATTATTTGAATCATAGTAGGCTACAGATCTAGGACAAAACGTTAACTAAGCCTATTCGTTTGACAAAATATATCTTCAGTTGCGACTTACCTTCCTCTCTTTGTGAGAGAGCCAGAAGACAGCAGCCCCTTCCTCTCCTCCCCGCATATCAGACTATCTGTTACTTTAACAAATCCGCTCTTGCGACACTGATGAACCACAAAGACAAACAAGTTCCTATTTGACAAGGCAAAGACCGAGAAACAAACTAATTCTGTTCGCGGTCAGTTGCTTTATAAAACATTACTACGTGACCCAAGACCTGCTATATCACTGAGGTTCGCCAGAATAGATCAGGTCTTCTGCTAGTAATATAGCCTATATATATATATATATATATATATATATATGTGTGTGTGTGTGTGTGTGTGTATATATATATATATACAGAGGCAAACAAAGTACACAACTCCATTACTTGAGTGAAAGTACAGATACTGCTGGTCAAATATTACTCCATTACAAGTAAAAGTTGTAAAGACAGATTTTTACTTAAGTCAAAGTACGGAAGTACTTGCTTTTAAAAGTACTTTAGTACCAAAAGTAAATTACCTTTTTTATGTCAATGCACTGTTTTATTATTGTTGTATGTAATACTTGCAATACTTCTGAAGCGACATACTATACATTACACCTACTGAATACACTGACTAGCTTGTAGTATGTTTGGAATTAAGAGCTTTTAGAATGTTAAAAACCTATGGGGAAAAACAAAACAAACAAACAAAAAACATTTTTTAACACCCCAACCCACCCCCACAAAAGCAGGATGGTAGTGATCTCACACAGCTCAGGACACATCTATGTGTAGCCATTCATCCACATTTGAACAGAGTGGACAGTGAAACTGTAAATACAGTAATGCTGTAAATACAGACTGATAAGGAAGAAAATAAAAAATCAAACCTGCTTTAAAACACAGCAACACAACTGTAGCTGTATAACTTTACAACAGCAACACTGCTTTAACAAAAAAGCAAAACAGCAAGACCTATTTGACATCAAAAAAGAAAGAAAAAAAGTGCTGTCTAATCGCTCTCGCTGTACTTTGATGTCACACACAGAATGGTCTGCAGTGCTGCTACATCAGTTCTTCTGTGGCTTTATAGGTAATATTTTCACGTACACAATTTAGCAAAATCAGACAATATTGTGTCTAATATATACCACAATATTAACTTCTTATTATTTAACTGTTGTAAATAAATATCACATTTGGAACTGGTCAGTGCTCAAAAGATGCTGGGAAATCACTTCATGTAGCTCTACAAGAGTGATTACTGATAAACTGTCTGAAAAAAAGAAGAAAGAAATCACCCACTGACTTTCAAAGCTGCTAACGACTTTCTACTTCGAGGACCTTGATAGAAATGCAGTAGAGTGACAAGTACAATATTTGTTAAAGTCATAAGTTTCCAGAAAAAATAATACTCAAGTAAAGTACAGATACTCAAAAAGTGTACTTAGTTACTGTCCGCCTCTGTATATACAGTGGGTACGGAAAGTATTCAGACCCGCTTACATTTTTCACTCTTTGTTATATTGCAGCCATTTGCTAAAATCATTTAAGTTCATTTTTTTTCCTCATTAATGTACACACAGCACCCCATATTGACAGAAAAAACACAGAATTGTTGACATTTTTGCAGATTTATTAAAAAAGAAAAACTGAAATATCACATGGTCCTAAGTATTCAGACCCTTTGCTGTGACACTCATATATTTAACTCAGGTGCTATATATATACACATACATACAGGGTGCGATTTGTAGGGGGGGATGGGTCTATGCATTTATTTTATTGATGCTACCCCACCAACCACCAAGAGAGCATATAAAATACAACAACAACAACAACAACAAAAAATAAATATATATATTTAAATATCAGCAAGTAAAATCAGCAGATCAGCAACATGACAATACAAACAACAATAAAATCAGAAAAGGGCTTTAACTGTCAGCGCTCCCGCTTAAAGACCGTGATCCTGGTTCACGTGCCTTAAAGGGGTCATATGATGCGATTTCAATTTTTCCTTTCTCTTTGGAGTGTTACAAGCTCTTGGTGCATAAAGAAGATCCTTAAAGTTGCAAAGACAAAGACTAAAGTCTCAAACCCAAAGAGATATTCTTTATAAAAGTTAAGAGTCAACCACGCCTACCTAAAACG